GAAACAATTAATAATAAAACGTAATAAGATAACAATGTAATAATAGCTTTGATCTGATTAATTAACCCTCAAATGTCAAATATTTCCTCGTAGTAAAATAAAAAGGTCACGTTTACATATCAGAAGTCGGGCTAGTGTTGGGGGTTAAGGTTACTACTCCGTACAGTTTTCGACACTAAATGGAATCAGTCATAGTTTTAGAATGTTAGGGTTATATATCATAAGTTATGTTTACAAATTAAAGAGAAAGTTTTCATCACAAACTGAAACGCTTTGCCACTCTTCTGTTTACAAACTTAAGAAACTAAGGATTGAGACTAGGAGTTAGAAAGAGGGAATTTTAACTAGTTTCACTAAACACTCTTGATTATACATTGAACCACACCAAGCACTTTAATAAACAAACTGCTTTAGCAGCGGGTATGTTTTCTAATTTAACTTAAGTACCACATTAAATTCACTTTTTAGTTGTAAAATAGATATTTTTATTGATTCCCAGAATTTTAAGAATTAATTTTCACTTAGTTGATAAAAGTATAAAAGTTATCTGTTTATTGCACTTTCAATATTGAGCAGAATACATGAGGCGTTATCTTGACTCTGATTGGATAATTTGAAACCGTTAGTATACTATACTTGTAGCATATCGTGTTTGTTTGTTAACTAAGATTTAGAAATACGCTTACCATTGAATCCAACATGTAATCACCATCCATTTCACTAACATCATATCGTAAACCAACAAGCAATGGATCATGACTCATTTGTTGAATATGATCTGAAAGACTTGGATCGGACAGATCACACCAACCAACATAACCTGCTATACAATAATAATCTTCAGCTAAAGAAGAAATCATTAAGCTTTCGGAATATGTTGAAGCAACCTTGGAAAGAGAAAAAAACAGATTCATGTATTACTAAAATGAGAATCGTTAAATTCGAAACTTCTGCAGTTATTGATTACTTGCAAATAGGAAACATGATTGAAATGACAAAGCAGGTGAAAAATGACATTATGAAGATTTAAAAAAGGATTAGTTATTTGATCGCAATCAACATTTGGCTTAAAATTGATGTAGATCCTTTGATTTAAAAATCGTGTGTGACAATCTGTAATAAGGAATACATCAACTTTCAGACAGGTCACTACTTGCGTTAATTTTAGATACAATATTTACAGCCTATCCCTCCGGCTGCCAGTTAGTAGTATCTCGAGATAAACTCATGATTCCTATAAAACAACCTACTACCAATACACTGTGTTTTCGTTGGCAGCGGAACTTTGACTTTGGATGTCTTTAGCTTATCCCAACTAACCCATCTAATATAAAAAAAATATTCTACTCAAATGTTAATTAAGTAGGTTATTTCTTTGAACACGTAAATGAAGATGACACTGCCATTCAAATAAAGTTTAAGAAAAATTCACATGGAGAAAAATAGAAAATAAGTAAGGATAAACCTACTAGAACTGTACTATAGGGTTCTCAATAAAATATCTTATATGAGTAAAAAAGTAAACACTGGAATCAGCGAATTTGATAATAAATAAAATGTTACCTGAACATGAATTGCATATCGTACAGGAGCTAGTTCACCAATTTCATATTTGATTTCATTTTCAGCTCGAGCACGCATATAATCAATTTCTTCTTCGTAATCATCTGCTGTAAAGTCTCGTCGTAATACTTTTGCCCAATTAGCTGTTGGAGGTGGTGGCAACTTTCCACCTAGATAAAGTTGGCTAGCACTTATAGATTCTGAGAGTGACCATATAGAAAAGTGTGCATCAATAAATGGTGGTGCCAATGGAGTCCATGCTGCAGTTCCAGCTTGAACAGCTTCTTTTTCATCGAGACGTTCAAATTCTATCCATTCATTTTCTTCAGCAGCTACTTCAGCTAATAGATCAGGTTTATCAGTCCGAGGATAAAGTTGTTCATATTCAGCTTGTGTTAAGGGTCCAATAAACCCGGAATCAGGTTTATTTATTGCCTGGAAATTATTATGAGACCATACATATTACATACATAATCCGTTTATAACCAGAATTATAAAGAATCAACGCAATCATATTTGTAACTGTCTTCAATGAAAATTCTTGTTGTTATTACATAGCTCTACTTCCAAATTACGGTACACTTAAGCCTCGTAAACAAAAACTTCATTTTTTAAAATGCTCACCTATCAGCCAACGTATTGTTCTTTCAACATCATACACTCCCACAGAAACCATTCTTACTTAACACTCATAAAATAAACAAAACCATGTTTCATCACAAGTGTAAGCTTATGTTTGAATTGACCAATAACAATTCACAAAGGAATTGACAGTGAATAGTCTGTAAATAATAGTAATAGCCTAGTACAGGTGTTCGGATTACGTATTCAATCACATCTGCTGTAGAAGTTGGAATATAAATCAATGTGATAGGATTGACTCTGTAACAGAGCTTTCGTTAATATATATATATATATATATATATATATATATATATATATATATATCGAGATTTCATCCGTTTTTAAGCAAAAGTCTTAAACAATAGACTTGAGAAAGTACTTTTGATGTATTCCAACAAACGTTTGTCAGTATTCCTCATAAGCAAAATAACCAGTGAATGATCATACTGGTTTTCAAGACATAACCGAATAAACCTAAGTAAAACAAATTTTTAGCTTACATCTGTGTACGATGTTTCTTAGAATGAATCTTTTAGTGAATAGTAGTTAACCTGAAGCATAATAAAAATGTAAAATAGTTGCTATCAATGCAAACCCATCTGAATGGGACAAGGAAATGAACAGGACAACAATCGTTGGAATATTAGTTGACATCATTGTGCGCTTAACTTATTAACATAAAAGGAGAGTAAACATTTCAATATTAAAGGAAAGAGTAGTTGCATACTCGTTCGTCTCGTAATAATGGTTAGTTTTAAATATTATTAAAATTAAGATATTTTAACAATCACATACAAGTGCTAATATTTAAGCTATACTTTTGATGTAATGGCTAGTGAACCTAAATGGTCAGTCAGTTACAACGTAGAACTTTGTATGCATGTACATAAGTTCAGTTTGCCATACCATATTAGCACAGAGACACAATTGTCAGTTCAAATCCCATAGTGGTTGTCTAGAACAAACATGCACAGCCAAATGGCTGAACATAAAGCACTTTAACCTTTAAGAAAATGATATAATCACAGGTATTGAGCAATTCAATGGCATTAATACTGATTCAATTTGTTACATCGTTTACCATGGTAATGATGGTATGATCTAAGAAACAAAACTACACTAAATTATGAGGAAAAAACAGTGATAAAGATGTAGTGATTATACAACTAAGGTGGTATATCAACATGTATGGTGAATAGTGATCGTTAATAGAAATTACTAAATCAATAGTGTTACAGAGGGATACTTAACTCACTGGAAACAATATCACTGTAATATTCTTAAGGAAAATACTAAACAATAACTTTTTTTGAGAAAATATTCTCATCAATATCACAACACTTATATCCAGGACTAACTAGTATTAATTAATTAATTAATTTGATATCGATGTAACTCTGACATTGAAAATCATCAGATACAACTACACATTTGAGTAATTTCAATGAGATCAACAAGATCGATCAACTATATTATTACTTAATATGCATCGGTTTACATAGAGAACTAGCATTGTGCAATAGATAACTCCCTTAGCATTATTTTTCTGTAAGCTCTTTTTGTTAACATCAAGTAATCCATCTTGAAATTAAAAAAAACAAAACTAGAATCAAACACAGAATCAGATACATGTTTCAGCCTAATTTGAAACAGTTCAGTAACATCTAACCGAATCTTTGCCACAATGGAGATTCATAAGTCTTCCTTTCTATAATCAATCAATTTATCAAAATTTCGATAGTATATATAACATCAGGGAAATGAACGTAGATTGTATTACAAAGTCAATGTAAAATAAAAGCAATTATGTGGATATAAGCATCATTCAACACAGTTAGGAAATAAGTAAAACACACAGAGAGAAAAAAGAACACAAAAAATATACTTCAATTATATGTTTATTTACAATATATATGAACATATCTATTGGTTTTACATGTCAATATATATATATATATATATATATATATATATATATATATATATATATATAAGAACAAAGTGTAAATCACAATGATAATAATTAACTAATTAATTAATTAGCTGTACAATTTACAATAATACTTGTTTGTATTGGCAAAAAAAAAATTGAGAATTGAGTAATTTTCCATTTTTTTTAAAAAATAATAAATATATATAACAAAACTGGAACATTGTACAAAGTAGTTCAATGTTGTTTATTTGTGACAATCATTCATAGTATTTATATTATAATCAACAATCATTAGGATGACAGTAATATGCGAGTGTTAAAAATAAGAGAAAATAAACGAGACACAATTTAATTTAAACAAATTTAAGCAAAAAGAAAAGAAACTATGCCAACATTCGTCGAATTGAAAATTTTTGTTTTTACATATCAATTATTAATTGAGCTGAATACAAAAAGGAACATCAACATAAAATATTGTTTTCAACAAGGTTCATCTACACACACACACACACACATAATAAAGTCTACATAAATGTAATTGAATAACAATTTGAAAGCTAAAAAATAATCTCGATTAATGGAAAGGTGAAAATTAAGAAGGCAAACTAAATGAATAAGCAACTCATAGAATGATAATCATATTGATAAGTATTTAATTTTTTTTTATTAAATACATAAACAAACTAGTGATTGTTACAACATATGTGATCTGACATTTGTGGAAGAAAACGTAGAGGAGTGATGAACCGAAAGAAGAAATGAATGAAAGAAACTCATTGTATAATAATGACAATACTAATGACAAATGAGCGGAGTAATCCAATAAACAGTGGAGGTCAATTGATTGAAATGACAAAATTATACAAATAGAAACAAAATTGCAGAAGAATAATATTTCAATCATTAAATACTACTATTATGCAAAGGTAAATTAACAAGATTTTCTGGTGTATCATTACGATAACATTTTACTTTTTCATATTTTCCAGTTGAATAATCCATAGTTAAAAATGTATCGACAGCTAAATCCATTAATTGACCAGTATTTTGATTGAGAACACGTTCTCTATGTTCACTAAGACGAATACGAGTTATCTGTCCAGTCTCCGGACGTGGATTATCTAGAAACATATTGTTTGTTGTTTTTTTTTTAGATAAACAGATTGAAACATAGAATTATCAAAACAGGAAATAGAAAATGCAAAAAATTAAAATTATTCAATAATCATTTTTAAGAAGAGTCAGTTAATCAGTTACAACGGGGCTACTGTCGGTCCCAAGCCCGGATAAAGGAGGAGAGGTAGGCATGGGGTTGGCTACTCCATCCCGCAAAAAACTAACTCGCTAAAAAACGCTGACCAGAAAAAAATAGTTCAAACCATTTAAACTCTGCTCTGGGAGTTAGAAAGTCTTCATTTAGAAGAGTTATGACGTCTAGTGATGAAAGGCGAGTTCCTTCGGAAGTCACAAGGCCGATGCCCCTTCTGATAACCAGAGGCTTTCCATGGTGTGGGCAGTCAGGAAGTAACATCAGCCATTATACTCATAAAAGCACACGAGATCAAATCGCTCAGAATCAAATCCTTTCTACCAATAATTCGTAAGCACGTAAGTAAGTTCAGCTTGCCATACCACGTTAGCACAGAGACGCAATTGTCAGTTCAAATATCCCATAGTGATAGAGGTAATAAGAGTATTAGCGAACGGATTAGTGATAAAGGAAGTGATTTTTCAACTAACAGATCATAAATTTGTATTATGTTCTACGTGAATCAATTTGAACGCACAAGTAATAACACTAATTTTAACACAAACAATGTAGCTTACAGTCAAGTAAATAAATACCTACTAGATGAGTTACATTCGGCCTATGCTCCGTTAAGTGTAACAGGTGTATATCAGTCAGTCAGTTACAACGTAGGACTTCGTACGTACGTACATCAGTTCACGTTGCCATACCACATTAGCACGGAGACGCAATTGTCAATCCAAATTCCATAGTAGTAGAGGTAATAGAAGTATGAGCAGTAAACAGGGGTAAGTAAGATGAGTTATATTAAATTGAATTCCTTTATACAATTGAGTAGTTTTTTTAAATCAATTTACTTACATTACGATGATAATTATCATCGAATCTCATTGATAGGTAACTGATTCACTTTTCATATATCGAAGTTAATAATTTATTTTACGAAAATTCATCATAAATCTGTATTCATGAGTTTTATGTTAAAGAAATAATTTGGAATTATCAATCAATCATTGTTGAACAACCATTAGAAACTTGGAAGCACTGGACGGCCGTTTCGTCCTGGTAAGAAACTCATCAGCAGTGCGCATCCACGACTCCTGCATCTCGCAGGATTCGAACCCAGGACCTTCGGTATTGTGCGCGAACGCCTAACCTCTGGATGAGCCCCATACCAGGACGAAACGGCCGTGTTTCAGTGCTTCCAGGTTTCTAATGGTAGTCTAACAATGATTGATTGATGACTTCAAATGTGTAGAAACACTAATCTCCATAACTAATTGAAAATAAAGAAATAATGCAAACACTAGAATTCATTCCAATAAATCCCTTAAACAGATGAATATTTTATTCAAAATTAAATAAAGTAAAATAGACTATATCTAGTTTACTGTTAATTATAAATATACTGGTTAGGATGCTGTTATCATTCCTACACAACAAACTAGATAATTTAACACTTCAATGATCCCAATATAACATTTCTAGTAAAAAACAATTTAGCTATTATAGAGATTAGTTTAATTGCTACATTATATTCATACAGTACTCCTAAATTTTCAATAATACTTCATCAAATCAGATTAGTCTGAGACATATGTAACTTAGTGACTAGATTAAACACAAATATTGGTACAAAGAGGAGCCATAATACATATGCACCATACAAGTCATTGAGTGTGTATGTGAGTTACGATACTGCCCTGGGTGCCCAAAACCGAAACAGAAATACAACCTATAAGGATAAAGTTATTTTGTAAACGTGTAAAGTAAATATATGTGTGCTCATATATGCTGTGTTAACTAGATTTTTTTTGGCATCTAGAGTAGATAAATGATACAATTAATGCGTATATTTTAGTATAACAAAATACTACAGTACTATGTACACAATGTTCTCTCTAAATTTACATTGATTGAATCAAGAATGTTATTATCATATAATGGTCAGTACTACCACTATGAAACACTTAGAAAGCTTCATTTTTTCTAAATTAGTTCAACCTTTGATAGACTTGTGTACCCCTTGATCATAAACTTGAAAGAGAGTAGCTTAACAATTCTGTAAATCGATATTAGAATTTTATGCAATTTAAGCATAGAACAGAATACAACCGGTTAAGTGATAACATAAAACCGAGAATTGATGCAATAGTTCTTCAGTTCATGTTTCCACACCGTCTAAACACAACAACTTCAAACACCAAAGATAAAGATAACAGAAGATTGAAGAAAAACTATAATTTATGATACACAGTCACTTAAGACTACTGACTACAAGTTTCCATTTTATCAAATAATCCAAGTAAGGTAATATTTTCTTTTTGAGAACTCAAATATTTGTTGTTTACAAGCGAAAAATCAAAACATAACTGATCGGTAATCAATGTTTTGTTTGTTTGGTACTTAATGCTGATAGTTTTATCGTTCAAGTATCAATGTAAAATGACTAATCTAAGTGGAATGACATCACATGCATTATATTGAATGCATTGAATGAAATAAACATTATAAATGGAACAACTGTAGAAAATTACCTGCATTAGCATTGTGAAGTGGACATACACTTACTCACACGCTCTCTCTCTCTCTCTCACACACACACATATATATACAAAAACACCATAAAAAATAAGAGTACGATGGATGTGTACATGCTTTGATGATGATCAGAAGTCAACTTAATGATAATGAATACACTGAAATTGAATACAATATGTATAATATTTTTCAAAAGTTTTACCTCGTGAACCAGCTATAAAAGATATGATCATTGCTTTTTCCGGTCGAGTAACACGATTTGCATCTTGGAATAAGCTTTGTACTATACTTAATTGTGATTCAGTTAAACATAAATCATCTTGAATTTTCACAGATGACAAATTTGTAGATGTATTAATCATATTATCAGTAACCGGTGTAAATGAAGGTTGTGATGAATGTATAATATTCATTTCATTAGAAACAATAGTATTTGAAGTTGGCGCCAGGTGTATACTATAGCTTGGAAGACTTGTGGTAATAGATACAGGAGATATATCACAGGAATTTGATATATTTACATTAGAATTGCCAGTGCTGTTAATATTATTATATGCATTTGATACAACAACCTGATGATTAGAAGTATTTTGTGGTGTTAAGTTAGAAGCATCCATATGAATTTTATTTTGATTCAATGGTCTTATTACAGTTAAACTAGGTGGTCTAGCTGCTTGAATGGTTGTCACTGTAGGTCGAGGTAGTATCTGAACATAGGTTTGACTCACTGGTGGCTAGATAGAAGAGACAGAAAATACAGCGTAAATGATTTTAAATTACGATAAAAACTATTTTAGAGAGTAGTAACGTCAACAAACACTTAATACACTGCTTTAAAGTATGAACGACTGAAATATTCAATACTCAAAACGACACTGCATAAAAGGTGATTAAAACTAGCAGAGTGGAAATTATTCAGTGATTCTATAAAAAAAATGGTCTATTGTAGGATAATTATTTAGATCACCATTTTCGAATTTTCACTTCCTAAAATCGTACTTTTAACGGTTGATCCTCAAGGCTAAGAATAGTTGCGCTATTAGCATTAACCCACTTTGGATTATTATTTATTATTATTACTATTATTATTTATTATTATTATTATTATTATTATTATTATTATTATTATTATCAGTAGTAGTAGCAGCAGCAGCAGTAAAAAAATAAACTCTTTGATATTTATGTTTCTTAATTGTCAGCGATAACCCTTAAAAACAATCTACGTATGCTGAGAATTTGAGTTGTGGATAATTGATCCTAATGAGTTGGTCAGTTGAATCACGTAGTATTTGAACAGCATATAATATCCATAAGAACCGAAAGAGATGATAAATATTTTTCTTAAACAGAACAACAGTAAATTATTTCAATCATCTTGTTAAACTAAAGGTTTAAAATAATACTGTAACTAATGGCATTTTTTATAAAACAATAAAATTCTACGCCGATAAATGACAAATTAATTATAATTTTTAACTAGTTACTGAGAATGAATGATGAATGAACCAAATAAGACTTGACGGTGAAGCTTTGGAAAATGTAAAAACCTTTACATATTTGGGCAACAAAATTGATGAGTACGGTGGATCGGATACAGACGTAAAGGCGCGGATCGGCAAATTGAGGACAACATTTCAACAATCGAGGAACAGTTGCAACTCAAAACAACTACCAACAAACACCAAAGTCATCAGTTTCAATACAAATGTCAAGACAATTTTACTGTATGGGGTGAAAACTTGCAGAACTACGAAAGCCATCATCCAGAAGATACAAGTGCTTATTAACAGTTGCCTATGCAAAATACTTCGGATCCGTTGGCCAAACAGCAATAGCAACAACTTACTGCGGGAGAGAACAAACCAGATTCCAGTGGAGGAGGAAATCAGGAAGAAGCGCTGGAAGTGGATAGGATACACATTGCGGAAAGTACCTAAATGCGTCACAAGACAAGCCGTCACTTAGAACCCCCAAGTACAAATGAAAAGAGGAAGGCCAATGAACACATTACGCCGAGAAACGGAGACAGACATAAGGTGAATGGACAACAATTGGACAAAACTGAAAAGGAAAGCCCAGAATGCTGATTAGCGGCTTGTGCTCCATTGGGGGTAACAGGCATAAGTACGTAAGTAAGTAAAAATGAATGAAGAAAGATATCATTAAAATAAACAACTAGTATGTTAGGATATTCACCAAATATCCTAAGAGTACTATTTTTGGAAGTATAATCCTATTGTTCGATTTCTATTGGTCAAAATTATGGTCGTTTTAAGTGTCAAAGTCAAATACTTCAATGTTGTCTCTTATTGGTCATCCGGACTGTCAATGTCATTTCAAATGCTCTTTCCCATTGGTCGTCCTAAACTGTCAATGTCACAGACTTTGATGCCCTTCCCTATTCGACCTAAATGTATAAATACGTACTATCAGTAAGACTTCATGTTTCTGTTCCTTCCTTCCTACCTCTGTTCTGTACTCAACCCAATAAACAACTCCATCCAACGGTGTTGCGTTCTGATATATAGGAGATTTTGAAATAGTTTTTGGGTCGTATTGGAATATTTGAATTCGGACATCGGTAGGATTTGAATGGCTACGCAGCAGCATTATCATAGTATATACATCCTTTTTACATATTTAGTAACAATTACAAAAGCACTGACAAAACAATAAATAACATTAATTACATTTTCATATTATTAACTAAAATAATCATACAGCAGACTTCATGTGTTAAAATAATAAACTTTAAACCAATATACCTGAACAGTTGGTTTTGGTGCTATAACACTGAATCGTTGCATAGGCTGAGATCGTTGAGATTGAATTTGTGGTGAAGTTAAACGTGTTGGAGTTGATGCAAATACAACAGGTTTATTATCAATAACAACAGTGGAATTAGATGGTCTAATTAAATTCACTGATGTTTGTTGTTGCATAGGATATGATGATGATGATAAGTAGATTTTATTACTTTCTGAAGAATTGTTAATTGATTGAGAAGTAACTGCATTTTCACTAATGTTATTATTTGTAGAATTGATTTGAATTACACGATTTGAACGAGGAGCAATACATACTAATGGATTACTTGGATTAGGTTTTGGACGTAAAATTGGAATGGTACTGTTGATAATCTTACAAGGAACCTAAAAATTAAAAATGGCTTTATAATTCAATAAATTATGACAGTTTAAAAATCTTAAGAAATCTTCACATAGTGAAAGTAAATTATGTGTTGAGCTAAAACACTGCTTGGAAACTATATTATGATTACGCTTTTGTTTTATGAAACAAACAATCGAATAGTATTATGGTAAAACAACTTGTTATTTTAAAAAAAACTGACTTAATTTATTCAGTAGTTGTCATATTAACACAGAAAATTAAAACATTAACTTTTATCTTTTTTTCTAACTATGTCAATTCGTTAAACAAACATAATCCATAGTAGAATGATAGTGTCAACTAAATGTTAAGCATGAATTTTCATTTTGAAAACTTGTATTATTGTAAAATTATTAATATTAAAGTAAGGTAGATGTTACATTATATAAATCAGTGAGAAGTGATTGTAACAAAATCGCCAATAACTATAATCCATGACTCCAAAGTCATTTTCTGAACATAATTTCAATAATATGAAAATATTCTTCGTTAAAAGAGTGAAACCACTGGATAATTTTGAAAGTAAAATGAATTCATAAGTAAAAACTATGCATATTATTTAAATATAGCGCATTTGTAAAACATATTGATTCAATTAATTATTGATTGCTGATTGTTTTCATCAGATACTGGCCCGACCGTATCCTTTTCAGGTCCCTCAAGAAAAAACCTTCCACGGTGTGGGCAGCCGGGAAGTGACAACCGCCCTCATACCCGCAACAGCACACGAGACCAAATTGGTCAAAATCAAATCAGATACTGGAGTTTTTAAACTAACTCCAACAGTTGTGTATCACTTTCCCTAAATTTTAATCAGATAATATGTTATCTATGAAAAAATACGACGATAACTTAACCAACGTTTATTCTAAAATTAAAATAGAATTCCAATAATCGATTCTTTAGGCACCTAAAAAAGAGGAGGTGTTCATAGAAATACAAAAAAATGTATTTTCAATGATAATTACAAAAATATACTCACTGATTCTGAAGGGACGGATACAACTTGCTGAGGAGATAATACTTGAGAGACAGCAGTAGATGATACAGGAGACGTGAGTTCCGACGATTTTGAAAAATTATTCGACACATCACGATTGGTATTTTCACTCTGTATATTTTTTCCTTGTGACATATCAATATTTAACGGTTTTCCAGATTGTAATATAGCAGTATTTGGTGCAGTTTTAGAAGGATCCATTACACAAATAATTCGAACCGGTGAATCAGATGGAGTATTCATAACTTTAACAACCCCACCTGAATTCGGTTGTGAAATATTGGGTCGGATAAGCCTGATATGACTCGCAGATGTACTGGGTGTTTGTGATACAGGAGAGGAGAAAGTAACAGTGGAATAATTTGAAGGAAGACATTGGACAAAATGAGTCTGTCCTAAGTTGGAGATCGGCATATTACTGACTGATTGTGACTGGGGATTTAATGAGTGAATCCCGGCAAATGAATTCATAGGACCAGATTGGAAACTGTTAGACTGCATACTAGTGAAATTAACATAATAAGGTGAGTTAAAACACAGAAAAAGATATTGATCATATGAAGTTATCTCCAAATATTCAAGGAACAAGGTGAGAACTAGTTAAAGAGCTATTGAGTTTTATTACTTACAGCTAACTAACAGTAAACGATGATAACGGATTCAGTATCCTTAAAGACCGTAACAAAAAACTGCTTTTACGTGAAATTAGTGTTAATGCGCTTGTGCTTATTAACAATGACTATATCTATAAATACATACATTGGGCCATGATATAAAAGAAATTACTGAGATTCATTCCATGGATTTTTTCATATAGCAAAACCAAGGATTATTTCAGTGATTGATACAACTTCAAAGAGAATGCTTTCTCTAGCCTAAAACAGCTACTTTTTTCACTGTGACCCGTTCATCCGACGAATTTCGTAAATGCAGGATATCTTTATTTATCTTGTGAAAATAATAGCACCTTAACTAAAGAAGAGTGAAAATCGCCCAAGGAGATAATTAACAGTTTATTTCTTAAGAAAGCACAAGTTCAACAAATGTTGAACAAAACTAGTTTTGTCACTATTAAAGGACATTGACCATACCTGATAATTTTCAATCTGGTAATGTTCAGTTTACTTAAAAACTTTTGGAAAAGGAAATAACATTCTACTGTTGATTAATAAATTATTCGGACAAGTAATACTATCTGCATACCTAAATATGATTAGACCAGATTATCTTAATAGATATGGTCTAGAATGGTTATGATTGATGACTACACAGTTGACAATAACAAAACGGTTGTAATCATAGAGTCATATACGATATTCCACAATTTTATAACAAGTACCAAACTCATAATATTTTACGACTTTTTTATCCTATTAGTTCAGATCGCTAAGATTGATAAAATAAATATTCTTCGTAACTATGGAACCTTGACAATCCTTAGACGATACAACGGTTGTAATATATGCGACAGTGAAGTGAAGCCATTAGTAGTAGTACTATGGTACTATCTAATGGGCATATATGGAAGACTGTAGAATCAGTGAAGGATTATCGTTTTGTTCAGAAACTAACTTTTATTATGACTACATCCCATTTCTCGCATAGATAGCTAAAACGTAAGTAACTATGCGGCTTTTTATAAAAAAAATATCCAGGTGTAATGTATGAGAAAATTTACATATTTATGAATGAATGAAGCACGTTTTTGAAGCTAAGTTAAAATCATGCTAAAATAATGGAATCTAAAAATTAACTCCAGAAAGTGATAAAAGTATTGAGAAATCAAAATATTAAAAGAGATTGAAGTTTAGTGTCGTTTGTTGAATCCTGTTTTATACATGCTAATTGAGTTTCAAATGAATCTAAAAACAAGTTAAAAATTGCAGGCAATTCTTTATATATTTTTGTACGACTCAATTTCCAGTACATACTCACTATTCTATCAGTTTTTTCATTGTGATACAACCATTAGTGCTTATCCAGTGCCCCATCCAATGAGGTGATTTTCTTACAATCTTATTGATAAATTTTGGTGGACAGATCGCTAATACTATTCAAAATATAAATTGAGAAACAGCATCTAAACCAATGAGTTACGTATGAACTTACAAGGTTTTAGGAAATCCAAGACTGTACACTCCAGATTCACCATTCTGTAACATGTCATCATCGTCATCATCATCATCTTCTTCTTCAACGTACATTGCATTATTGTTGGAACTAACAGGGACAGATGCAGACAGAAGTGGATGGTGAATGACTGGTTTAATATCAGGATTGATTTGAGGGGATATAAGACGATTTTGAACGTTTGAAGTTGAATTTGTAAAATGAGGTGGGAATTGACCACGATTATTGAGTTCCGTTTTGTGTAATAAATCTTGAGAGAAAGTTTTCGACAAAACTGTAAATGATGGTTTAGATTCAAAGGCACCTGAACCATACTCCATGAATTCAGGAGTGGAGTTAATCGACATTCTTTGAATTCCAGTTTTATTTTCCGAGAACTGTTGAGGATTATTTTGCCATAAAGGTGGAATGGACACATTTTGTCTACGAGCTTCAAGTAAAGCCTGTCGTTCCGATTGACGAGCTAATTTGGAGGCTTCTCGCGCAGCCTTATTCTCACGAGCTCGTTCTTCCTTTTCTTGTTTAAGTTTTAGTTTTGTTTCGCGCTCTTTTTCTATGAAAGTAATTACATGATAACATATTCACTGAACAGTTCCAGAAGCTTATCGACTGATGAAAGGATTTATGCAAGGTAAAAACTTACGTTGAAGGTAATTTTTGCCACAAGTTGACACCAACTAGAAAACTGTTGAATATCAAGGAATGTTTTATGTTTGACTAGGATTCTTCAACAGTATAAACTCACAACCGCCATGAAACTTAACCGATGAAATACAGGCCTTGTGGTGAATTCGATACCTTTAAAAAGTTAGGATATAATGAGCATTTTAAACTTTGGTCAATTGATGGGCTACTGTCTTATTCGCAACTCCAAAGCGTTCCAGTCAAATTTTACTAAAGCAGCTCAACAAAGTTCATGAATAAACTAACCAACCTACGATAGATGCTGCATTTCTTTCAGTGGAACCGTGTTAATGTTACTGAAATTGAAATGAAGACAATGACAGGGATCCCAAATATGTCACTGCATTCGTAACAAGTTGTATTTGATTGTTGCCTGAAACGACAACTGTTGAAAAGTGGATTATTTGTCTAATAAACTAATAATGTGTAAACATCTTGCTATATTAGCCTTCATAAATAGTAAAAAACGTCGTAAAATGAAAGCTTTTAAAAAAGATATTTAAGACTGAATGTAGAGAGAGAAGCCCATTCCTCTCAATCAATAAACTAGTATTGAGAATCTTCAATCATCAACTAACACATCTAGGTTATCAAATCACTGATGGCAAACATTTCTCAGAACCCTTTTACAAAAGCTCACACCTCTTTAAGCTGAATTAGAACAACAGTTAATTTATGGGTTTATATAATCTGGTTAACACAACACTGACAAAAAGTGGCAATGAACGAGTAATAAGCAACCTCAGTAGTTCTGTCGCACTTAGGTTTCACTAGTCATATTTCACAAGCATAGTAGAGAACCGAAAAAACGTCTAACTATTAAACTCATTTTCAACAAGTCATTAAAACATGAATGACTAAGCGATTTCAAGGAGCAATAGTATTATTAGTTGAGCTAATAAAAAGTGGGTAGTTTAAACTTCAGGAAAGTCGGAATAAACTGTATGAACTAAATAGTTCGTCAATGAGAAGTAATTTAATAGTTGATCAAAAGGTATGTGTGCTACGTCACTGAATAGCTTATGATACAATCCAGAAGAATTCAGTCTAACAACTACAACTCAGTTAACTAGACAACGACCTACAGACTGATTTCCTGCACACCTTATCATGTTTACTTTGTGTCAATATTTTATACATAAGCATGCCATCCTATTACACAAAAAAACCTTTTTTGCGGGATAGTGGTCTATTCTTTGATTCCAAATCATTCAAGGTTTACGTCAATAATTCAGTTCTATAAACTGATATTACACAGTCACATATAGTTTCATTGCTTATCATTCATCGATTAGCAATTTTTTTTATTTTGCTTACCGACTCGCAAAATCCCAAACCATAACAACTTACTAAGAAATGAGAGGTAGGATATAAAATGTTTTTAACTGACCTTTCCGAAGTTGTTTAGCTTTTGGTCCAAAAGCAGGTAGTTCATCGAACTCTAGCAATTTTATTCCTGACTGCTTTTTCGCACCTGCTACAACAGAACTCCGACTACTGATTCTGTCGTTTGTAGAAATAGGTCTATTTTCGATGTTGTTTCCAGTTTTATTTAAATTAGCACGAGTCCATGCCAAAGATCGTTTTGAGTCTTGATCATCAGAACTTTGACCAGATATACGTGGAAAGGTACTTTTGCGCCTAGAAAGTGAAGTAGAATCCGACTGTGACGGAGTAACTGAATTTCCTGGATTATTCACCAAACCAAGAGCAACAGAATCTTCTGTTTCATCTTGACGAGCAAAGCTTCTCCCAGGTATTGGGACATGAACACGCCTTCGTTGACATTCGTCCTTTAGCTTCTCAAGGTAGGATTCTTTCAAGTGTTCTGATTCCAGTTTTCCACGCCGTTGAAAACCACAGTTTGAAGGATTGACTGAAGGTTTAGCATTTCCTTTCGAACCAAGAAGTTTGTCTAAAACATTACGACCCAAATATTCTGCCAGTAGTGGGGTGTCTACAGTATTCCAATTATTAGCGCTTTTTAGTAGTTTATCTATATTCTTCCCAAAAGCTTCGTTAGTGGGAGATATATCAAAATTAAGATAGTTAAGGGTTTGTTTACTGTGTAAGATCGTAGCGACAGCTTTAACAAGATTGTTCTCTTCATCCAGAGCTTGGAGAAATATGTTTTCTATGTGTTTATTAATCTGTAATCAGAATGAGACAGGAGAACCGAATCTCATTAAGCATTGAAAATACGGAAGTTATAATTAGTTGTGATACAATCACAGCCACATTCTGTGGTTGGTTATATGAACTGAGGTGGAAAAGTAAAGAATCGACTTAAAATTTAATCGAAGACAAATAAACATAGATAAGTTGTTCAAGTGCAACTTTGTTGTAGTGTATAAAGCTTTTGCCTTATGTTAGTGATATTTCATGTCAAAAAATGTGATGTTCGGGGGTAACCTACTTATAGGTTTCAAGAAGCCACTATAGTGATAACTGAATATTCAAGATAACAGATCTAAACTGAAGTGCCTCCAAAAATTAATGTCAGATATAAGTGAATTTAACTCTTCCACAGGAAGATTTATTACAGTCCTGCCCAACTGTTTGTGAGAACTAACTCACCAAAATATACAATAGTTATGACAATTTAAAGGAAGGAATCATGAAACTCCATCCAGGGAGTAATACCTTCTTTGAATGGATACAAATGTCATAAAGCTTTAAAAAAATAACTATACAGGATTATATATCTCCAATAATTGATTTCAGTTACTTGAAGGACTGTTCAACTTATGGGAAGCTACATAGAAATACGAAAAATTACTCGTAAAATGAAGATTACTTTTATCTCATTAGATTTTGAATGTACATTATGCAAATACATCCAAAAGCTTTTCAAATGATTGTATGCATGTTTACAACTGAATTAGCCTGATCTGAGAAATTGCGTGCTTTGAATACAAGCCTGATTATTACACGCCATTTCCAAGTCAGTAAATGTTGAGCATAGGGTAATCCACTTAGCAACTGATGACGACATAAATACGCCTACTCAATAGGACAACCGATTCTAAACTTATTAAATATTCGACAGAAATGTAAAAATACCAGTCAGTATGGATAGAACGTAAATTTGTAAGCATATTAATCTAATTAATTAATCGTATATAGTTATTTAGTAAAAATCCCTCATTGCGGCAGGGAGTGGGGAGAGTCCTATCCACTGCCTTTTTGCAGTGGGAGTATTTTCCACAAAATCGAGAAGGGAAGGCGGCTGCCCGGTGCTTAAACCGGGTTGGTTGGTTAACCTGGAAGAGAAGAAAACACTGATTTTAAATCAGTGGTGCACATAGATGCCGGGATTCGAAGAGAACAAGTGGCGTATGAACCTATTGTTAGTCACTCGCAACATCCCAACACTAACTTGTGGATTAGATCTCTAGGTTAAAGGCACGAGGGGAAGCTCTATAAGAAAACCGCCTGCTTCGGCTTGGGCTCCCAGATAGTGTCCCACCCCATGCACCAATTCGATGATTTGTGAGGCGCATATAAATTTTGAAGCCCTTTTGTACCAATAACTATGTTTAAATAAAAAAATAATAATATTGTAAAACAGCCATTGAATATTCTTACATCGAGAGCACCGACTAGCCGTGGACCAATTGAAAACAAATACTGATTAGCGAATTCCGTTTGTAATTCATCCCTATTTGGGGATCAAACTCGATATTCTGTTCCCATTTGTTAACTTAAATATGTGGACACTATAATGATTAGTGCCCTAAATAAGGCTGGATCATAAATGTACAGGAAATAAGCGAGCCATATTTGAAGAGGAGTCAATAGATGTGTTTTACTGTATTCCACATCACGTCAACCAGTTATTCATGAAGAACGTAGAAAACAGAACATATGTGCATCGGTACAAGTTGCCACACCATATCAATACATTTATATGAAGACACCAAGACAAATCCCATAGTAGTATAATTAACAGTACCAGTGGCAGAAGAAAAGATAGAGAAAAAACGATATGACGAACAGAAAGAATTAGTCAGTGGAATCAAAGAGTATAAAACCATGTTGAAACTCAAGACCTAAGAAAAAACCGAGTGAATATGCCTGTACCATTGAGAAAGATTGTGAGCTGTCACCCATCACCCCTAACGATTGATCATGATAATCACATGGATGTTAACCATATAATCTACAGAAACGTAGTAATTAAGGCTACTAGGCTACTAGGTCTCAGGTATAATCCCCACAATACCTACTTTAGTTTTGATAACCAGTGTCGTTTGACCCACGCAGTATGGTTCATTCTTCAGTTCCTACTGAATGAGTTTATTAAGTTAATAAACTAGACATGGCTCAGTCCAACAGGCAATGACATCCTGGACCAATACCACATTGTGATTTGACCGCTCCTGGCTTTCTTTCGATCTCCTCCTACATTAAATATCGATCGTCTAGGTAAGTGGTTAAGCATAAATAATTCACATTTCAACCACTTCATTTGATGAAGATTCAGTGTCACCAGATTCGGTATATTTACTGAATACACTGCGTCTAACTTAGGTAGTGCACATTTGATAGCCACAGCGCATACAAACAATCCTTCAAAAGGATTAATGATCAGATGCTAGTAAAAATAACTGGTTTTTTTAAAGACCATGTTAAGCAAGACGGACCGACACATTATATTCGTCTTACAGTCAACAGAAAGATATTTATTTTGTACTACAGATGATGCAAGTCGGTAGAAGCATATTGAGTTTCCTGAATCCGTGTTGAGGTTTCACCATATGACACTATAAGTTCGTGACCATGAAGATGAACTCAGTGGATTGAATTGTTAAAAACTAATCAGTTAATTATACAACTGAAATTGATTTGTAAACCAGGTTCTCTTATGGCTCAGAAATTAGATTTTGGAACGTATTCGAATTTAAATTGCAGATAGATACAATGTAACGAAAATACTAATATGGATCTATAATTATTCAGTTGAACCTCATTCATATAAAATTAGTACGAAAAGCGAAAAGCATCCTGCTCAGAATGCTCTCCCGAACGAAACGACTACAGTCCCTCAGTGGATCGCTCCAAGAGGACACTTGACAAACACGTATTCCTATGCGGATTATCATCTCCCACTTGGATCAGCTGTGCCTGGTGCATGTCTCTAAACTTCTTTCTTGTTATTATTACTTCTATAAATCACTACCTCGCTTATTATCGTTTGTTTCCTTTTTCATCTTTACATTCCGATCGTCTTCTAAATGGAATCGGCACGTTTTTATTATTCTCCAGAGTGCAACCAAATAATCACCAATCTGGTATTGTGAAAGCTGCTGTTGCCCAGAAGCCCTACTGCCCTGAGGCAAACGCACTTCCTCAAATCACAGGACATACAAATTCATAAATGTCAGCTGAATAAAATTAATACAGTCGACTGGCTAGATTACTATCCAATGAACATCAAATACCTGGAATCGTGCTGGAAAAACAAGAGACGGGCACAAAGAAATCAATCTGTTTATACTAGCTCGTGGAAAAGATGTACGTAAATATCAAGTCACAGATTACGTTGAACCTAGCAAACCATTGGGTTACATTGGAATAAAAACCAGAGGCTTTCGGACAAAAAATACCAATATACCATTATACGCAAATAAATCAATGAATGATCTAAAAATAATAAATATTTCTTAGTCAAAGAGACGAACAAAATATATGACTAGGATCGATAGCCAGTATCCAAAATATTTTTCACGAGCTGGTATAAAACAACTAACTTTTTAAATTTTGTTTCGTGCTGTTTCAGTATGGTTAAAGTATTTGGTAATGATATGCTGTATCGGTACACAAAGCTCTAACAGATATATGATACAAAACTAAAGATGACACTCCATAGGCAAGGGAAATATTGAGGGAAATTTTTTAATAATCATTATGACAAACCTGTGGCACTTTACTTGGCTTCATGTTGCTGAAAGCTAAGAGCAAACATAGCTTAGATTTAACATCCATATGGCTGAAAGATGCATCGATACAATACAGCTTCTCCTCATTGAGAGAATCTGGGTCAATAGATTTGGTCCAGTTGTTATCGAAAAACTGCTGTCGAACAAATTTCATCAAATCACCCATTGCAAAAGGGCAACCCTATGGTTCACACAACGTAACGCACACAGATCAAATTACGCTCTTAAGGTTCCAACATTAGAAGCAAGAGACCAAACCTGTATGATGAACAATATTTTTTGTGTTAAGATATACTTTGGTTTCGCGGCCCATCTCAATATAGTGACTTCTGAATCTGAGCAACTAACTTCCATTTTCCGTCATCAAAGTGTCCTAATTTCAGGATTGAGATGTAAATTGTTGTCTATTACTTCAGGTGCATTCTACGCTTTTATTGACTTTCAGGTTCAATTATTTGCACTTTATCCCTCAATAAAGATTCTCTTACCAATATTGCTTACCACACTTCGCCCAATTTACAATGTACCTCCAGTTTTGATATACTCTTGGTGACTCCACTTTTATGCAGAGAACGCGATTGGTTTAATAGAAGCATTCATTACTTTAACCAATAGTACCAGTGTTTATTACTACTTTGTGCTCTCAAACTTTCGTTTTTGTTGCTGCCGTTGTGGCTCCATTGCCTTCTGTAATTTCACCCTTCTTATCTGGCAAGATTTCGGTATTCTTTCGATACCGCGAAATCACCAGCAAATATGTTGCTTCGTATGGATTAGCTTTCTTTCTCTGTCCTTTATTCACAGAGCTTTAGTGACGGGAACGTAACTGGTCTATAGCGGTGATCACTGTCTACCTCGACTCGTGCTATTACATACTATGGCTGGACATTACATACAAAATGTTTTCTTAGTCTTGAGTTTTAGGGTTATATACATGACAGAAGGGTCTAAGTGTATTAGATGAAATGTTCAGTTCAGGTTCATATAGCTGTGAATGATTTAGATGCAATGAAATATCAATGGGAACTAGCTATATAGTCAATCAAACCGAACAGTCTCCGCCTTTGTAAGCTTCACTTTTCCACATCAAAATAAGTCTTTTATGTGGTAGGATTCTATCTTTTTCTTACCATAACTAAAGAAGCAGGACAGCCTGGTTCAGGAAAGTCAACTAACAAGAAGAGTGAGTTTGGCTTCATCTAAGCTATTTCCCCATCATTCACATTTGTGCAAATGAATCGAAACACTTCGGCTTGACGGGTTTTCACATCTATCAGAAACCGTTTGTTATTCTTTCCAGGTAAAAACGCAAGTATATGAAGTAAGCATGAAGTGAAGTAGCATCTGTAGTTTAGAATAAAATCCGGCTCTCAGTTCATAAAATATATCATACTTCAAGCTAAAACTGGACTCCAGTAATTCATTGCTAGTTAAGAGCTGGTGCAACTGCAGTCCACTTCACTTTACTAGAACCCCAGTTTATTACTGAGAGTGAACTTAGGTATTATAGAGGAAGTTTTAATGTGTAACGATGATTCCTTGTAGTTTATAGTCTGTAATCAAGTTACCTTCGTTCTCAAGGTCAAGTATTAGGCGTTTTCAGTCATTCTTCCCACAGTTTGGACATGAGTCTGAAAGCTGACTTCATAACTCACCTTTTTATACGCTCCGGAGCATTCCTACCCTCTTAGGACAAAACCAGAAACACTGTATGGGTTTGAAATAATCAAACGAAGTACACGCGTTAGTAACTTTAACATAGCACAAGGATGAACTAGAATTTGATGTATGCAGTATGAAGTTATTATTATTATTACAACTAATATCATATTATATATGTTAATATTATAAAATATTTACTTTTACAATAAAGGCATTCACTATTCACCAGACCCGTCACACAGATCTGTCTAAGTGTCTATAATGTAGACTTGGTCTTTTTGCGGTTCCTCTAGATAAATATTACGACTTTCGACTTCTTCTATCTGAAATTAATAATTATCTCAAAAGTTATTGGAATTAAAATTGGAACTATCCATTTGAAGTTCTGAATCATCTGCAGAACTACGATTAATTACAGTATGATTGGAATTAAAACTGGACTCACCTACTTCTCTAATTTTTAGTTGGTCTACATGTCTGCTGTGAGCTGAACGGTCATTTAAATCAAGAACATTCACTGTCAGATTACCCATTCTCAGGACTGTATTTTTGTACGCGGTCCGCAGTAATTTCTCCCGTTAAACTACACTTTCGATGATGTTTTATTTACCAAGTGGGTTAGAACTATATGAGATTTAAAGAGTTTGGCTAGACTAACACGTGTTCTTGACTGTTCTACATTGAGATACTAGAGTAAGAAATTGTCACAGCTTTTTTCTAGCCCTTCTGGATTGCTTGGATTTGTTGATGAGATAGCACTCTGAGAGGTTCAAACGAAACTTTCTGCCAAACCATTCGACCCAGGATGTTTTGAGATTGTCAATAAATGATGGCATCCGATGTCATTAAGCTAGCTAGTAAGTTCCTTTTCCGTGAAATGAGTTCCATCCTCAGTTACTTACGCATTGTATAGCCATTTCTAATAAGATATCTTCCTCAATGCTCTTTGAGTAAAGTAAATAAGAATCTTTTCTGGCCACTTGGAGTATTAATAAATAATCACCAAATCATGATATAAGTTTAGAAAGGGTCCACAGTAATTGGTATGAATACGTTGCCGTTGTTTATAAGATGAAGGTCTAGGAATACAGGTAGGTTTGTTGTATGCAGTCGATTTAAACAAGCCTGTTAGGTTTTCGATTTCTAGTCGATATCAGCATCAATCTAAGGCTATCAACAAATCTGATGAACGAGGGATTTTATTTTCCCTGCTCCTAGATGGATGGAGTGAATATTATATAATAGTGCAGATCTAAGTGTTGAGGGATTATTATTCGACTATTAGAGCACAACAAGCCTTCAGTATATAGTTATTTGTCCTTACACGTTTTGTAAAACTCGGGAAACCTATCTTGCATTGAACATTCCAAACTCTTCTCGCTGCACTTCCGACCAGCTCACCAATGCCATTTAAAAGTTCTACTATATCAACAGGTAATGGTTGAATCAATCTGCAGTCATTTCCGCTAGGTAATCTTCTAAATCTATAGTATGAAATTTTAGACCGAATAGGTAGGTGTGCAGTCTTCGTACTGCCCGTATAACAGTTGATGCCTCCTTCTAGGTCTGAGGATATTCTTGTTAACTTTTGTTTAATCGTCTCAAAATAATAACAACAGATTTCCCAATCTGCTCTAAAATCACTTCGAACCCCAATGGAAATGAATCTTAAGTAAAGATAGATTTTTTGGTGGGTAAAAATGGTCATAGAAGGAATTCCCCAGTTAAGAGCTGTGAAAAGTTTTTCGGTATATTCTCGTATCATTGCTTTCAGACAAACTGGTCACCCGATAACAAGTCGAAAAGTGACGATTTTGGGTAAAGTTAGGAATAAACCTGAAATAAAATCGAGGGGTTCCAGTTCATGAAAAGACCGCTGAGATACTGGTAGGTGATAGTACCGAGTTTGTTAACGTTTCATTTATTGGCTTATTTAACAGAGTCATTCTGACAACAAACACCTGAGCAATGCTCACCTCCTACGCACGTATTCATTCTAATAGCTTTAATGTTAGTCGCCTAAATAATTCAAAGTAGGACTCACCAATTTAGTGGCCTACTATCTGTCTCCCACTTGTACGGATGACCAAGCAAGTAATAAAAAAAGCAATAAAAAGGAGCCAAATAGAGTTTTATCCCATACAACCATACATGCAGACAGGTATGAAAATATGAAGCTCAAAGGCAAAGCGTAGCAAAGTGGAGAAGGCGACTGAGCAAACTCATTACTATAGGCATGATTAAGTCATTATAGTCAGGCAATTATAGGCTAGACATGCATGAAGCAAAGTAAGCATTCAAACTCAAATAAAATCAACCAAGATATAAGCGAATGATTGACAAGGTTGAATGGCATGTGAATAATGAATCGAGCAGAAAGGTTGATTAGCTAGTCCTAAACCCACGACAAGCCATGTGGGCTGAACACATTAGTACATATACTACAAACTCAATATTTTCGGCATTTACTGCAGTATCATCTTGATACGATTATAACACCATCAAGACCGGTTGTAATTTGATTTGTCGAATATCCTGAAGAAACATTTAATCCAAACGATAGGAATTTGTATCCAAGTAGAACAGATTATGTAGCAATGGTAGTCAGTCCACATGAGATTTCAGTCAGTCAGTCAGTCAGTTGCAACGCAGAACTTCGTACGTATGTACATAAGTTCATGTTGCCATACCACATTAGCACAGAGACGCAAATGTCAATCACATCCCATAGTGATAAAGATAGCAGACGTATTATTGGTAATGAAGAAGACTGGGGTGTGAAAATATTTTTCAACAAGTATAATTCAGTGAGATAAGGTTAGAAAGACAAAGGTAGAGGTGCTGACGAATCCAGAAGATGAGAATTTGATAGAGCCCAAAGAATGGATGCACTTGCGTCATTGCAAACGATTTTGAGCCATGTCGTCTCGCGGACACCAACCAGGTAGTCTACATCTACCAACATGGCTCAGTCCACTTGTCAGTGACTTCATGGATTTCTGCCATGTTTTGGTCTGGCCGCACCTTGCTTTCTTCCAACCTACTCCTACACCATAAAACATAGCTCGTCGAGGCAGTCGGTGGTTAGGTATTCGTAACGCTTGTCCCAACCACCTCAACTGATGAAGTTTCAATACTTCATATTTTGATCTGCCATCCTTACCTAGTGCAAATGAATTTTCTACTCCAACAGTTCACTCCGTTTCGAATAGTGCAGTTTGGTACGCGCTCCCCCCGGATCCGAAACCAAAACACAATAATTCTGGGAGAAAACGGTCCTATAATTCAATAAAATGGAAATACAGACAATTACCAAACAATATTACACCTTCTATTTCCAATTTACCGCGGTGGGTATCCGTTTCTGGAAGAATAAGTGCCTCCAGTCCGTACTGTTGAAATATCAAATCCAAATATGGCTGTAGCCATATTAAATATCAAATTTAAACAACATATGTACAGTTCAGAAGCAAACATAAAAACTTCAATATAGGTACAAGATATAGAAATAATAACAATATACAATTATAAAATCTCAAAATGGAAT